GCCGCCGCCGCCGCCCCCGGCGGCTGCCTCGGCCCCGAGCGGCTCTGGGCGAGCCCCGGTGCCGGGAGCATCCTGCCCCGTCACCATCCGATCGCCGTGCTGAGCGTCGGTCGGCTCCGAGCAGCCGTCCCCGTAGAAAGGACGCCCGAGTGCCAACAAGTGGTTTGGCACTGCTGCCTTCCAGCCCCGGTTGCTTTCTCATTTCTTCCCCTTCCCTTTTTGTTCCGCACCCCCTTGTAACCTGCTTCTGCCAGATCATTTTCACATTCTGTTCTCTAGGAAGTGAAAACCAGAGGCATGGCTTTCACACCTACCTGCTCACAGCACGCAGGGCTGTAACTCGCCATCTCCTCGGGGGTGCGCGGAGAAGGTGACCTGCCACTCGTGTGGTGTCACTTGGAGCCGCTCCTCCATCCAGGCTGAGTTCCATCTCAAAAAAACATATAGCTAGAGGTTCTTCCCAGCTCCCAGTTATCTTTTCTGTGAATGAGCCTGTAAGAGCAGCAAACAAAATAGTTGGCATCTGTAAAGGACGCGATTTGCAAAGGCATGGTAATGATGCTTTGTGAAGATCTGCAAAAAGTAAACAGAAAAGAATAACTCATAAACTGTTGCCAGTGCCTGGGCATTGTAAAAACGGGAAGTGTGTCTCTAACCTATAGTAGTCTGCAATTTCGAGTAATAGTTGCAAAACTCGGTTACCTTACTGCGAGTTACGGTGTGACCAGGGGAACTAAGACTAAGAGGTGGTTTTACACTTGAAATCTTTGCATTTTAATGCACTTTAGAAAGGAGAGCTGTGTTGTCTAATATGCCCCAAAGCTGTGCTACTGGTTGGAAGTGGCATACTCTGATATATTTATTTCTTAAGAGAATCCAGTATGTAGGTGTAGGATACTTACACTAAGTTTGGTTTGTTTTTTTTAACTACAACTTGTTCAAAGGTATTTTGCCAGATTTCTGTGTGAAAGCATCTAATAAAAGCGAGACTGCTCGAAAGCAACTAAATGCCTTTCTTTCCTCGTCCTCAGTTGCTCCATTATGGGGCTGGCTTTCAGGATTTTGATCTTCTCACAGCAGAAGAGGCAGAAGGCAACTGATGGAGTTATTTCTGCAAGGGTCACAGGAAGAGGAACTTCTGGATTAGATGTTTCAGTGTGATATTTCTGAATTTTTAACATTTATTAAAGATAGAATGTATCGGGAGAAACAAACACTTGCAGTACTGCCTGAAACTGTGGTTTTTGAGACATCATGTTTCTTAAGTTTCCTTCCCTCTTATTTTCAGATCAAAAATGTTCAAAACAGGAAGTTTGACTTGTACCTTTTATTTTGTAAGACTTTTCCTTACTTAGTTGAGACAACTGGGCTGTTAGCATTTGTTGCTAAAATCTTAACTCTGTGATTCAGCATCGCTGAATTGCTTGCAGCTCTTGTTTGAAGGTTATTTGTCATTTATAATGTTAAATGTTTCCTCCCTTTTTCTTTCCTAATAGCCATGGCAATGACAGGCCCAACACCATGCTCATCCATGAGTAATCACACCAAGGAGCGAGTTACAATGACAAAGGTGACATTAGAAAACTTCTACAGCAATCTCATCGCACAGCATGAAGAACGAGAGATGAGGTAAAAATCTTTCTTGCTTCCTTTCCAAACTGGATAAGAGCCAAAAATATATATTAACTGCATTTAGTTTTCTGGAGCCAAAGCAAAAATAGAACATTTTTGCTGAGCGTGTACCTAGGCTCCTGAGATGGGCACCTGGATGGGGCTTGGCACGAGCATCTGGAGGCAGCTGCTGGGTTTCTGAATCCCACAGTTGTTTAGGCTGCAGCTTTTGGAGTTTCTTCTGAAGTGAATTGAAATGTGCTTGCAAATGCAAAAGTGAGATGACTGTTACCAAGTTTTAAAAACCCATATATTTGATTACGCGACTAGGTAGAAACTAATTTTGGCATATGCTTGGGATCATTCAAGTACAATCCTGAAGTAGAAAGCCAACGTTTACGAATGTTTGTCTTGCCTGTGTTCTGCTGCCTCTTCCCATTTTATGTCCCTGGTTGTAATATTTAAAACTCATTCTAGAGCATCAGTTTCAGTATGGATTATAATGTGTGATCAAGTCAACTGATAAAGGAAGGTAATTTTTTCAAAGACAATGAGGGATTCCTGTAAGGACTGTCACTTGATGCTAACTTCTTGTCTGTGAGTTAGCTGAACCTATGGCATCTCTTTAAATATATCGGTCAAAGCATAACAAGCAGTTTAACTGAGAAGTATTACTTTTACTTTCCTTTGGCTGGAACCCTCTAATTTGCTGAATACCCTCAAGCTGTAGCACTGGGACTTCTGACGTTCTCCCAACTTGCTATGTAGTCTATAATCGGAATTTTCAAAAAGATTCAGTGTTCATTCACTTGGAGACTTACTGCTAAAAACCTAACTAGATCCAAGAGGAATGCCTGCTAACTACAATAACTGCAGAAATGAGGAAGCAATTTAGAAATAAATACTAACTTGCGTACATATTTTCTTCAAAACATCAAATTAGTAATGAGAGATTGAGGTCTAATCCAAACAGAAAATATCACCAATTTAATTCCTTTCTTTCTCTTTGCATAGCTCTTGCTTTTTTATTATGAGTGCTATTGTCTACTCCCAAAACCTCAATGACAGGGTTTTTTCTGTTTAGGCTCAAGACTTTGTCTGAACAAAGATACTGGACTATACAAGTTACATGTTTTTTTTAACAATAGATGTGTCTGTGGATGTGCAATTTGGAGTTTAAATGGTGTTGACAAAATATACACTGAAGTGCAGATAGGACCTATTAAGGATATTTGGGGGAATTTCAGCATCGCTTGGTCATGCTGAGCTATTTAATTCTGTGTATTGCAGCAGTCATCTTTTGCTACTAGAGTCACTGCTTTGAGTGTGAAATGAGATGACCAGACAGGGCTCACTGGGTACTTAAATAAGGGCAAAGTGATTTAAGTGTGCCTGGTTATGGAAGTGATAACCCAAAATATTATCACGTTGCAGCAGCTGCGTAGTGGCACAGGAGACCGGAAGAGGATCTTGCGAAGAATGACTTGCATAAAGAAAAGGAATTTTTTAGTAAATTTTTAATGCTATACCAATAAAAACACAGAGAGAGAGAAAAAAACAAACCCAAAAAACAAACCCACCGATCCCAGTTCAGCTAGCTATTAATAAGATAGGTGTTGGGAAAAAGTTCCTGGAGGGTAATCATTACAAATGTCCCCTGAAGCCATTCCCCCCTCTGAAGTCTTGCTTCCTTTTTTTCTTTTCTCCTAAATAATCATTTTGTAGTAAGGCTGTAAATATTTCTGATTCTTTAAGAGGCAGAATGTGTACAGACTTGGTTCTTCTTCCCAAGTATTTTGAGTATCTCAGGTATTAGGAAATATAAAGTAACTTTTCTCTTTTTGCATGTGATGAGTTTGAGATGCAAAGAAGTTACAGTGCAGATCCGCAGATGTGTTTAAATAGCCAATTCTCTGGAATAAGTGAGACTTTGGTGTTTAAGTATTTATTATAGCTGTGGCCTTAAGTGACTTGTGCAGCTTTTGAAGAGAGAGACAAGAATTGAACCCAGATCTCAATCTACATTTGTATACAATGAAAATATACGCTTGAATAAGGTGTGAAACTTGAGACAGGTTTAGATTGTCAAAATTAGAGAGGACAAGGCTAGAATGGCAAAGCTGTAATATTAGATTCTTCAAAATTAACTGCATGTCTGCGTCTCCCTTATATGTATCATTTACACTTGTTACTTGCTGGCATTACATCCTTCTTTTACAGCAAGCACAGAGCAGAGGTGTTGGATACGTGCGTGTGATTAAGAAACCATATTAATGATTCAACCTTTATTTTTCTAATTTGTCTCTGCTATAGACAAAAGAAGCTAGAACAAATGATGGAAGAAGAAGGCTTGAAAGATGAAGAGGTAATGAATATGAGAAAATTACCTTAATGGTTAAAGTAATACAAGTGATTTTCTTTTATAAATGGAGATCTAGAATCTTTACTTGGAATTGCTGTGATCTCTGTGGAGCCCACCTCCAGGACTCTTACTGTGGTTTTTTTTTTTCCTAAACTCTAGAAAAGAATCAGGAGGTCAGCACATGCGCAAAAGGAAACAGAGTTTCTTCGCCTAAAGAGAACAAGGCTTGGTTTGGAAGACTTTGAGTCTTTAAAAGTAATAGGCAGAGGGGCTTTTGGAGAGGTAAGTCCAGAAAAGACTACTAAAAGTATTTTAAAATGGCACTGATATTTGTTAAAGACTTGCATAGTTTACACAAGTGAAGGATAGAAGTTGTGACAACCGCAGATTGATTTTTAGCTTAACAGTCACGTGCATCTGTCTTTATGACTAATAAATGTTGGTTTAAGAACATGATGTGCTGGAAAGGAACATGAATGCTGTTGAAAAGGGCTTGAAGGGCAAGCTAAATACAAGTTTGGCAGTGTACTTTAATTGTGACCTCCTGGGGCTGGCCTTACAGACAGGAGAGCTGGAGAGCCACTTGCAGTAGTCTCTTCTGGTGGCCTTCTTCAGAGAAAGTGGCTTTGGACCATCTGCTTAAGCTATATGATTGCTGAGTGTGTCATCTCTGTTAAAATGATTTCATCTCTTAGAATTAACAGAACTTGTTTGCCGTTACTGTGCACTATGTAATGTGTTTTGTTTTTATAATTCCATATGCTTTCATTAAATGGAAGCCAAGGGCTTGATACCCAAATTTGTCAAGAGTCTTGGTGCTAATGCTGTATTTGACTCAAATTTTTCTATACTTCCTAGGTGCGACTTGTCCAGAAGAAAGATACGGGGCATGTTTATGCAATGAAAATACTACGTAAAGCTGATATGCTTGAAAAAGAGCAGGTGAATAGCCACCACGAGTAGCAACGCTACCGTCCATGTTTTAGATGACTTTGGGAGGTAACTGTGATGTGTAGAGAGTAATAGGCGTCTGTGGGCTAGGTTTACTAACTGAAAAATTATGTGTTTTTTTTTTCCCCATTCTTTACGGAGGAGGTAGGTCAGAAGAATCTCGTATGAATTCATAAGGACCTGTCTTCTAGTGGGCTCTTTCAGGTCTTTTTTTTTTTTCTTTTTTTTTCTTTTTTGTAAGGAAAACGTTCCCTGTAACAATGCAAAAGTTTGAGGAATATATAGTTCTCATCTAAAAAGGGTTACAGTAGTAGTTACAGGCTATTGCATGTAACTGAATGCTCAGAACAGTGTTTCAAATGACCTCTAATGCCTTGCTTAGTCTTAATGGAAACTGCAATTGTAAAACCTTTTCTAAGAGGCTTTTCAGTCTGAAGCAAGGTAGAACTGAACTCACTTTCTGCTTGAAAACATGGGAAGCAGAGCATTTTTCTAAGGACTAGGTTTGTCTTTCTCCAGTGAAAGAGGAGGACGGTGCTATGTATCTGATTTATGTTCCTCCTCATTTTATGATGATGTATGTTACACATACATATGTGCAAATGATTCAGTATAGATGTCAAGATTGGTGTTTTACTGCATTTCTGATTTATGGAATTGGATATAAATATCAAAGTGATGCTACTGTTGGAACTCTGACTTGGAGAGACATAAAGTAGTGGTGTTTAACACTTTTAAGGCTTTTATCTGCTAGTACTTCTGGGAATATAATGGTCTGAGACAATAATTTCTTGTTCAGCACTAGGATGAATCTAGAAGGCACTGTGTGTGTGTGTTCATAAAATCAGGGACTGGAACTGGTTTCCATTTCCCAAAATATTTGGTTAAAAACCAAACAGCAGTGTGTTCACACACAAGCTTTATGCAGCACTGCTAAATTAGTGCTTTGGTCTAAATCAAGGAATAGGCTGAAGCCATATCAAAGGGCATGCTAGGTTTTTAGAGATCTAATTGTTAGATATTTTTGTAAAAGACCTGAGATTTCTGTATAAAGGATTAACCTGTTCTTTATAATCAACCATACGTTTGCCCTCCTGAATCTTCCCATGGTAATACATTGTGTTTTGGAGTGGTCTGTTATCTAAGTGGTTTTAAGAGAAGTGTTTTCATAGTGTCCCATATCACTTGTACAGTTCTGATTTGAAGGGGACCCAAATGACATAAGAATTGAAAGAATAAAAATGTAAATGTGGTTTATTTTTCTGTACGGAACCATGTTATTCAGAAGGGTGGTTTAAATTTCTCTAGCTTCAGTTTTTGCTTAAAAGAATAAGGTTAGTGCTCTCTTGCCCTCCTACATATGTCTCAATTTATGGAAGCAAAAGTCACGCAATAAGAATAAATGTTACTCAAGTGTAAACGTCCAAAGGCAAAAGTCCCCATAAACTTTCCAGTAGAAACTTCTGAATGTAAAAGGATCTGATCTTTCAGATCTTTATGCTGAGGAGTAAAATGGAGTTGGTGTTCAATGGGATGTATCAGATGGGGGCAGGGGGGGAAAGAAACATTCTGGGAAAATATAGAAGTTTAATGAAAGCATCTCACCTTTTTGCTGTCAGAAGCATGACTTTCGGATTTGTTTTTGAACATGTTATGCTATTTTATTACATGAAGATATTGAGGGGTGTAACTATTGAAGTTTTAGTGTTTCTGCCCTTGTGCAGAAGTTTGCTGTCTTTTCAATATTTTATGCTTTTCAGTATACTTGAATTGTCTGCGAAATAAATGCATCTAATAAAACATAAGACTTGTAATTAATCAAATGCATATGCGTATCTCCAGGTTGGCCATATTCGTGCGGAGCGGGACATTCTAGTGGAGGCAGACAGTTTGTGGGTTGTGAAAATGTTCTATAGTTTTCAGGACAAGCTAAACCTCTACCTTATCATGGAGTTCCTGCCTGGAGGTAACTACCTGAAATCAAAAGACTGCTTTCCTTTTGTTTGTGGATTTCTAATTTCTTAATTACAAACGTAGTCTTGGCCTAGAGTATATGTGGTTATCATACAGTGATGTTTGTGCTGGACATTACCTTGTGAGTAAACAAGTAATTGTAAATCTTTCTGCTTTTAGGAGTTAGGGTGCTGAGGTCTTTGGGTCAGGCTCGAGGTTATCTGCTTGGGTCTTCTAGCTGCAGATGTTTGAAACTTGGCCTTAATATTCTGCTAGTTGTTATCCTTACCATGCACTGGCTATCTATAGAACTATAACATAACCAGTTTTTTATTTTTCTAACCTTTTGCTTTTAGCTGGCTTGCAGCAGAAATAGCTTTTAAGGTCCCTTTTTCAGAGGATGATGATGTTTGTCCTTGAATGATAATGCTACTGTAACTCACTTAAGAAGAAAGTTATACTGAAAGCCTGTAATATATGTGACTAATGAAACCACAAGAATGCTTTCTGAGATGACACTGCACAAATGCAATCTGTATTTTCTAACAGCTTTGTAGCTGAAAGTAGATGAAAGTATCAGCAGTCCATAGCTGACTCTTGTTGAAGGGATGCTTCTATACTGCTATTTCATCTTTATGCTATTTAGCTGTCTCAGTAAGTTTAATGCAATTTCAGTACAAGCCTTTCCACATACAGGGGAAAAGACAAAAGTTTGTCACAGAAGTGCTGTATTACTTTACATGAAATCAGTTTGGATTTCCTGAGGTTTTAAATAGCTTAGCTCTTTTCTTTATACATGTCTTCAAAATTAGTGAGAGTGGAGTTTGTGTGTTTGTTTGTTTGTATTTACCTTTGCTGTTTGGGGGGGGGGCTTCTAGGTGATATGATGACACTGTTGATGAAAAAAGACACTCTAACAGAAGAGGAGACACAGTTCTACATAGCTGAGACTGTGCTAGCCATTGATTCTATTCATCAGCTGGGTTTTATCCATCGGGACATAAAACCAGACAACCTTCTTCTGGACAGCAAGGTATGTACTAACTACTGGCCAGTGGCTGGGTAGTAGTAAAAAGGTCTTGTAATTTTTAATATGGACCTGAACTAGCGCTGACAATTGTGAAAGAAGATGGTGCTTCTTTCTTAGCCCTGTTCCTTCTAGCTTTGATGGCATATCTGCCATATTGCTGGGGGCATAAAAAGCAAGCCAAGAAAGACCTCTCCTCCACCTCCAGCTGTATTCATACCTCACTTATGAGCTCTCTTCTGACAGTTGTTTAAGCTATTTTTGGTTATTTCACCTGCAATTTAAAACACAGTTTCAGTTCTCCCCTCTTAGTCAAAGATGTTTCCTTTTGGTCTCACATCTGTTATGCTTATGCTTGCGAACTATTGGGTAGATGATCATATCAAATGCAAAGGATGTAGCTGTTCCATTACTGAGACTGAAAACTGAGATATTATCTCCCTCAGAATCAGGACATATTTCTGAAGGCTGGCCAGGCTACCTGATTGCTTCTAGATGGTTATTGCAGGCAGTTTGCAGAAAGCTTGATTGTTTCACTATCCTCCTGCTGCTCACTACAAGTTTGCTTAAAATTTAGCTTGTTTGGAAAAAGTTTGCCAACAGTAAATAATTATACTTTATCACTAGCGAGCTAATAATGCACTGTTGGAATTACTGATGTAATTCAGTATGTCTGCATCCAGATGTAGATAAATTCAGGACTTTGAAAAGGATGTATGTTTTAGATACACATCTAAAAATTGCACCTAGTCGCTGAGGTCGCATGTTATGCACTAGGACAGATCAAATCACTGAATTTAAGGTGTTTCTTCTTATCTATTGGAGTCAATGCACAATCCAGGGCCTACAGCTCCCTCTGGAGACGTTTGCTTTCATTCTTGCAGGACCAGAGGTTTCTTGAAGTACATAGCTACTGGGCTTTCTATGTGTAGTAGTGATGAAAGAATTAATAGCTTGATTTTATGTACACATCCAGTCTTAGGCTAAAACAAGGAATGCAAAAAGAACACATCTATTTATTATACAAAATATAAGAAAGGGAAGAACTATAAAAGTTTATTTGCTATGATGAGGTCTCATACTGGTTTTGTATTTTGGGTTTTTGTTGTTTGTTTGTTTCTAGGGCCACGTGAAACTCTCAGATTTTGGTCTGTGTACTGGACTAAAGAAAGCCCACAGAACAGAATTTTACAGAAACTTGAACCATAGTCTTCCTAGTGACTTCAGTAAGTTATTTGGCTTCAGAAAGGTATCTGTGTACTTGCTCTTGGTTCCTGACATAACTTGTTTCAGTGTGAAGCTAGAAGGCCACAGTGGGGGATCTAATAATCAACATTGCATCTTGAGGTGTAATTTTGATTTTCTGTATAACATCTTTTATAAAAACAATTTCAGTTACTTTAATGTACAAAACCATCTTCATTTCCAGAAGTTTGTCTTTGAAATAGACTCTGCTGTAGCCCTTTGCATGTGTAATAAACCTCAAATGAAAACTTGGTGTGACTTGGTAGATGCTAGCTGCATCTCATGTGTTATTTAAATTAATAAATGAGCACACATTCTCTTTGAATATTCAGTAATTTTCTCAAGGGGATAACTTTGGTCATGGAGTTAAAAAAAGCCTGAAAGCATGGATTGCTAATGAAAGGCTTGACAAGATTTTATCAATATTACATAGGTTTGGAAGTTGCTGATAGGTTTAGGGTATTGACAGATGTGCTCTTTGCAACCTTCTGTACAGATGGCAGAGGTTACATCCCTTGCTTTCCTCTTAACTGTCAGCTGCCACTGCTTGCTAGGGGCTGCTGGCCACTCTGATCTGCCACTGTAGGCACTCCTTAGACTGTGCCAGGTAAGCTGAGGCAGGTTAACTAGTTCACTTCTGCTGATGTGGCTTATCTTCAGTAAGGTGAATTAAGGTGTGCTTCCACAAATAGCTTCAGCTTTGTTGTGGTGGTAAACTTTGGCTGTAGGGGCCAGTGATGAGCACCCTGGGCACTGTAATGTCTTACCATGACAGCTGAATACAAAATGGGCTCTCTGTCCAGGCCTTGGCTACCTTTTTTGTGTAGCCTTTTAGTTACCTTTTAGTGTAAAGGTTTTGGGGTAAAAATGTATGTTGGGTGGCTAGTAGGTTTCAGTCACATATATTCCAATCTCCTTTAGCTTTCCAGAACATGAATTCCAAAAGGAAAGCAGAGACTTGGAAGAGAAATAGACGGCAGTTGGTAAGTACGTTTCACCTGCTTGGAAATGTTCTCTGCTGAGCTGTTGCATTCAGATGGCACATATATTTAAACGATGGGCATTAATCCATTTCGGAGTTCTGAACAATGCTGAAATAAAAAGATTCATGCTTTTTCTTTTAAAAAGAGGAACAACTCTAGTTTGTCCTTCATCCATCTGCTGAACAGCTGGTGACATATGTGCCTGAGATAGCACTGCCGTAATTATTTACATTGATATCTGGTGCCTCCCAGCTAAAACGAACAGCTCTTGCCACTTTCAATATAGCAAAGGGCTAATGACCCATTCCAAGGTGTATATAGACAGTGGTACCTTTCCCCACTTCTCTGACGGTATTTTAAGACTCCTTCACGTGAACATGTTGATTTTGTCCCTACATATCTTGAAATAAAGGCTTTAAACAACTTTGCTAAAGGATCTTGGAAACAATCTGGTGTGTTCCTCAAAATAACCATTGTTGCATAAGTTCTCGCTTCCATATCAGGCAGTTTTCTCTAAAGATACATAACTGAGGGTATTTGTTCCAGGCTTTTTCTACAGTGGGTACTCCGGATTACATTGCCCCTGAAGTTTTCATGCAGACCGGATACAACAAGCTTTGTGACTGGTGGTCACTTGGGGTCATCATGTACGAGATGTTGATCGGTAAGAAACTGGCAGTGCACAAGTCCTACACCACAATTCCTGCTTAAGACATCAGCTGTATTTATGTGCTCAGGGTCAGGTTCTCAAAGTATCCACTCCTTGCATGGTTTGTGAGGTTTGTTCTGGTGCATTGTAGACTTCAGTAACTACACAAACTATTTTTGCTTTATACGAGATTGTATTTTTCTTTCTTTTCAGGTTATCCACCATTCTGTTCTGAGACTCCTCAGGAAACATATAAGAAAGTAATGAATTGGAAAGAGACTCTGACATTTCCTCCAGAAGTCCCAATATCTGATAAAGCAAAGGATCTTATTTTAAGGTGCCAGCCATATGGTTTGCCAGTTAATATAGTACTAATTTTCTTGTCTTGCAAACTGTAGTACATGCCTCTCATGGCTTGCTTCACATGAAAAAAACTGATGCTACGTGCTGTTACACACACGCACCAAATGCTGAACTCCCTCATCAAATACACTTGTCTCTCAGAGGTCATTTAGCGGTCCCCTGACTAACCTATGCTAAAAAGGACCTCCCACGTAAGTGCTGCTAGCCTGGCAAAATAGGAATGTTTCTACTCTTTATTTTGTCTGTGAGCTTCTTGTGGAAGCAACTTAATCTTTTTGCCAGAGGTAGCTTCTTACAACAACAACGGTTTTGACATTGTATGCACTGGAGCATACAAACGTATCCCAGTGCATGCTGACTCTTGCTCTTTCATTTATATTTTCAATCGCTTACCTATTCTCAGGACAGAAATATAAATGTCTAGCTTTTTAGGCTTTATATGTTCTCCTGCTCTACACTGGTCCTGAAACAGAACGGGCACATTATCCTGTTGTGAAAGAATACCACATCTAAATTGTAGCATTTGACATGACTTTTCCTAAACATAACTTTATGTGTTGGTTTTGCACTGGGAGTTCTTAACGTTCTTCATTTATACGTTAAGAAACTGTAGTAGTATCAGTTCAGAAAGCTGTTCCATTTCCGCATGGAATGCTTTCGTTTTCATTCTTCCTTCATTGTCATTCTTCCCTCCATCCTAGATTTTGCTGTGAATGGGAGCACAGAATTGGTGCATCTGGTGTGGAGGAAATAAAGAGTAACCCATTCTTTGAAGGGGTTGATTGGGAGCATATCAGGTAAGATGCTTTGGAGAAAAGCAAGCTGCTCTTCTTTATGGACTGTTTAAAGCTAGTCCTGTTTGACAGAAGGGAGCGGCTTGACTGGCATTTATTATATCTAGGTGTGGGTGAAAGTATTTTGTTCCTTATCTGAAGCTTGCTAAGGTTTAGGTACCTTCAGTCTTTGATTCTGTTAAGAAATGGAAAGTGGGTGAATCCTGCTTTCTTCTGCCTTTGAAATCTTAATGCTGAAACTGCTCTTCTTGGCAGAGAGAGACCTGCTGCAATTTCAATAGAAATTAAAAGCATTGATGATACCTCAAACTTTGATGAATTTCCAGAATCTGATATCCTTAAACCAACAGGTAAATGCTTTGGTTCTGCATGTAAACAAACCTTCCTCTTGTCCAGTAGAATAATGTAACTTTCATGTTAATCAAAGAATCTTACTAGATGCTAGTTGTTGTTGTTTTTTTGTTTTGTTTTTTTAAAAATCATGATCAAATTGTTGGATGGTAGTCTTATGGTGCAGGGGTGTGCAAGCTGTAATCTGGGTTTCACGAAATGGGATGCAGACTTGTGAATGATGTGGGAGCTGCCTGAGAAAGGGCATCTCTAAGAGGCAGCAGAGCTCCCAGCAAGTTCAGATCTCAGCAGGACCTGCGAGCCCAACACTGCTAGTACCCCTTGGTACTGGCTAATTCTTGCTGGCATGTCTAACACTTAGTATAGGGGGTAGGGAGAAGGTGAGGCAGAAGGGGACGATATTCTTTGGTGTAAATTTCTAAAGGATCTTGTATTTACGTGTCAAAGCATAGTCATACATTTGCTCCATGTGTTTTAAGAAGACACATTACAGGAGTTCTTGACTGGGATTGAAGAATGAACCTGAATGTCTAGATTTATGATATTTCTTTCTTTAGAAGTATTCTCACCTACTCCACATGGAGTGTTTTGTATGAAAATAAGCCTTGCAGTCTTCGAAGGATAATTTTTTTTTTCTATGTCTTATCAGTGGCAACAAGCAACCATCCAGAGACTGACTACAAGAACAAAGACTGGGTTTTTATCAATTACACCTACAAGCGTTTTGAAGGTCTGACAGCCCGAGGAGCAATACCATCCTATATGAAAGCAGGAAAGTAATAAATCTTTACCTGGGACAACTTCTGAGCCGTGGAATTCTGTTCCTGTACTTTGGGCTTATACCCATAAAAGAACTTTTTCTTTTTTTTTAAAGAAAACTTGAGGGCTATCAACTCTTGGAGAAGACTTCAGGACCCTGATTTGTTACACACCCTGTTTGTTACTATGGATTTTTTCTTTCTGCGCCATTGAAAAATTCCACAAAATGTTTGCATCATCTCTGCTGGAAGCATGTTTTGCTGCTTCAGGAGCAAGAGTTTCAGTTTTCTTTTTAAATTCTTTGCCAGATTGTACAGTCCATCAGGAGATGAGAGCAAGCCTTCACTCTGACATTGCAAATCACCTGATGTTTATATGGACTGTTTGCCAGTCCTGCATTAAGTGACAAACTCAATCTGCCAATTCTGCCAGCACTGTTTTCCCAGTGGCTAAGGACTTCAGTACAGAGGAAACAAAGCAATAATTAAAGCGTGAGATAGACAACTCTCCAGTAAGCTATCTTGTAGAAGGATACAACTCGTATTGCCTTAACCTTAGTTTGTAGTGCTGTTTTTTTATAATGCTACTTGGAAGCCTCTTTAATAGCATTTCTCAACTCTGTTGCAGTGGCCTCCAGTTGCAGTGCACTTTACTTTTGGTACTAAGACAGTGACTGTCAAGCCATTTAATATTTTTTCTAAATTAAAAAATTGTGCAACACTTTTCTAGACAGTGATAGGAGAAATGGGCCACTCCCTCCACCAAGCGCCAACAGTTTTCAGTTACTGTATGAAAAGATGGATCCGTAAACAATGCAGATAATAAAAACTACAACTGGTAACACAAGTGGATCTGGAGTTAGAGCAGAGAGGGAGGGAAATTATTTAACCTGATCCTTGGTGGGCATCTTGTGTACAGCTGGGTCAGCCATGAGGCTTCCCGTTCCTGCTGCTGCCATCTTTTGGCCACTTCTAAGATCTGCTGCATCTCCATCGGTTTAAAGACAAAACCATCTTCCGTGGCCTCTTTGATCTTGATTTTGAGCAGAACAGTATCAGATTCTTCTGAGTGTTGCTGATGTTGCTGAGGCCTCCCTGGGTTTTCCTTACAGAGCTCCTCTTGCTGTCATGGCTGAACCATCTGTCCCTGTAGTCTTCTGAAAAGACAGTGCCTCGTGGGGTCACTTTTGGGGCAGTGGGACCCACCACGTCCACTCATTGATTATTGACTAGTGTAATTTATAAAAGTACATTCAGTTATGATCAGGTTGCTCTCCAGCAGAGCCCCAAAGTGCCTTTCCTTGCCTAAGTATCTCTCAGAACATGACTGCATTTTGGGAAGGAGGATTCTGCCTCAGATGAGCTTTTGCTAATTCCTTTTTATAATCATGAGCTCGACTTGGCACGTGTTTTGTAGTTAACTCTGCACTTCCATGGGCAGGTAGCATCAACCTTTGGGCCTGCCTGGTTCCAGTTTTTAATTTGCAATTAAATGGGGTTTTTTAGAATATAAATTTAATGAGGTTTCTAAAAATATGTATCAATTGGAACTGTCTTGGGTTCTTGCAAACTTTTATTGGTGCTGAACACTAACTATATAGTACAGACCCCCCCCCCCACCTGTTTAGAAACAAAGCTAGAGCAGTGTTTCACAGTAAAAGGAAGGCTTTCAATTATATCTAGTCCTAACTTTCTAGATTAGGAAACGAAAGAAAATGGGTTTGTAGTGAAACTTTTTTTTTTTTAATAGGTGCTTTTAGGGAATTTTTACCTAGATGTCTTTTGAATTGAGTGCCATCATGGACTGATTAGGGTATTAAAAGTACCGTATATAGCTAAAACTGGGTGATAACTTGTTAGCATCCTCTCCCTAACCACCCCTTGTGCTTTTTGTATGTGTCCTAGGAGTTTAATGAATTGCCATAAGCAGTTTAGATACCAGCTGGATCCTACAAAGCTGAAATGCAAAAATAGCCTTAATTAGAGGTACCAGGATCACTGTAGTCAGTAGGGCTTACTCAGATGAATAAGGGCTAACTGAACTAATGATTTATAGGATCAGGCTTTTTATCAGCTAGTCACTAATAACACCTTCTGCTCCCTTTTTACTTTTTTATGAAGGACTGATACCAACTTCTCAAATTGCTCCATCTCCTTATCCTGCAGTTTCTTCTAGCCATTTGAAAAAGTTGCCTTAGAAACCATTGAAAAACTAAGAGGCATTAACATAAAAACATTTTTTTTAAAATTCCTAACAGCTTAGTTACTGCCTTAAAAAATAAAAATATCAAAATCCTTTAAAGCTGCTGTGGATTAGGAATAAATGATTTTGGGATAGTAGCTGCATTATTAGCCCTTTACTAAAAGGGACTGGCATTTTTATTTATAAATACCAAAGATGAAGAAGCTAAACAATTAAAAGTTGTGATAACTTGCTGTGAAAAAAACCCACAAACCCTATATAGTAATATGTATTGTGCATTTTTAGTACATGTGTTTTAAAGTCTTCTGAAACCTCAGATTGTTCATTTTTTGAGTTAAAGGTGAAGTTTTTCAAAGGCACAAGGAGCAGTTGGGTACCTCATTCCTGTTGTCTTTCAGTAGAATTTGGATGTCTTTTGAAGATAGTCCTCTTGGACGCACCTTTCCAGCAGTAAGTTTGTATCACAGTTGCACTGTAAGCCTGCTTCCTATTACAGCTGTTCACCAACACTAGGGAAAAAAGTACAATGTCTTCTTCCCAGGATCCATACTACACTGCTAACAGATTAAGATTTTTGTATGCCTGTTCATCTCCCATGTTAGCCAAACATTTTTCTTAGCAGCTGGCTTGTGTATTGAGGTTGTATGTATCTTTTCGCTCTTTTTTTTAAGCTGCAAGCTGTTGCTGGACTTCTAGGAGTAATTCCAATCTGAATTTCCAATGGATCTGAACATGAGTTATGCTGCCAGTTCATCTCTGTATCATGCCTAGCACAAAACTGCACTAAGTGTTTCTTATCACTGTGCCCTGACTCTGCCTTAACCTGTAAGTTGAAAAAGTGTTCTGTAAATATTTAAAAGCTGTTACTAAATTGCACTGTAAAATTTGGCAGGTGTATTGTGTATTGCTGGGGGAGCCAACTTTTTATGGAATGATCTTTGCATTGTGTTGTGTAAATAAAATCCTCTTAGTAAACACAATTTTGCTAGCATGTTTTGTGTTTACAAACTGGAATCTCTCAGGTTGTTTTTTTTTCAGACTTGAAACTGATTTTAGAATCAACTGCTTAGGTATGAGAATGCAATGGTAAACTCATGGGCTGCATTTCCAAAAGATGCACAGCAGACATGAAGAAATGAGCACCCTGTTAAAGGTGAAAGACAGTGCTGATCTTCAGAAGAATTAAATCTTTCTGGCAGAATGCATAGGTGTCTGCATTGTGTAAATGTCACTTCAGTTTACCAGCTTCAGGGCAAGTTGTTTTTAATCTTTTCCCCTTTCTATTTTTAAAAGGGATAATAAGCAGGGAGCAAGTGGCAGTGGAAGCAAAGCTATGACCCTTCATTTTCTTTCCTACCAGTTTGTAACATGCCAAAATCAACTTGCAGTTCTTACTTCATCGCTTCACCTTTGCAACAGCTCCACTTGTGAGTACAAGTTCCCGTTGTCACTTCAGTAATTCCACTAAATTCCACCTTGTTCAAACTTTAATGCCTTTCTCAAGCTTCATCAAGAAAATCCTTATACTGCATCCAACACTGAAGATGATAGAAATAAAAGCTGGACCTCCTCCAAAGCTGTCTTCTTCCACAAGCAGAAGTAGATCATCTTCCACAGCATACTAACCAAAAATAGCACTAGGGCCTGTTACAGATGCTGCATATTTTGTGGGTTAAGTAGTGTCATCTCATACCTGTGCTAGGTGCTGCTTTTAGAACATCACTGCACTGAGCTGCTAAACTTTGAGGTTCTCTCAGCACAAATGGTAGTAGTGCAGCTGCTGCACAAGGTTCCTGCCAAATCAACCAGGCTCTGCCTGATGCAAAACTACTACTAAGGCTTTGAGGTCAGAAGCCACACTTTATGAAGCAAGGAAACAAAATCTTCTAGCAATCTATCCCCTGCCCATTCTTCTACTCCACATTTAAAACAATTTTTAAAAGAGCCAAACAAGCCACATATAATTTATACTTTAATACAGAAAAGAAACCATACATCTGTAGTTCATACACACCACGGATAACACTTCAGTGTATCTAGAATAAGACAAAACTTGATGTACCTGAAGTAGGTGACCATGAGAGAAGGACGAAAAGCAGATGCGTACTTTTTCAATTTGGTTTAGTGTTCCAGTGGAACTCAGTCTACTAAAAAAAAAAAATAAATTTATCTTTAATTACTTGTGAAAGCCAATAAACTACAGTGGGCTTTTTAGAGTGGTAAAACTGCATGGAAATCATAGAAGCTGGATACCTCCATCCCATGCTGAAGGTCCAACTGATTACACAGAGTACCAACAAGCTCCTACAAGTCATCGACAGTCTTTAGCTCTCAGGCAACAGCCTGTTGCAGTTGACTGTCTGCAATCACTATTTCTAATAAACTGGCCAAATCCTTCAAGAGGCCTAGCTAACACTGAGCTCAGGGACAGACAACGGTGGCATTTGTTTTGGCTGAATATGGTACTTAGCTGTCAGATCCCATAAGGTGCCACTGAAGTCAGATGCTTGGCATCCGATGCCTTGACACAGTCCTGTAGGGTAGCGCTCAACAACATGCACATTTCAGGTCCTTAGAGCAGAACATGTGTAAAGTCCAATTCCAAGTCAGCTGGTCAATACCAACACACTTTTACTTAAAACTTACACTGCTGTAAAAATAAATACACAAAAAAATTCCAGAGGGCCTGGGGACAAGCTCCATCATTGCTGGACAGACAGTCTCACCAGTGCCTTTGCTTGACTTACAGGAACAGCTCGTTACCAAGGCAGGTAATGGGTTTGGTCTGGCCCTTAGCTGGAAGGTTAATGGTCCGTATGTATTCCTTTCTCTACTATAAAAATAGAAATTCATCTAGAGCAGTAATGGAAAGTGATTGCACACTATCTCTGTGCAGATACTGAAGGACACTTCTCTATACTGATCCAATGACACACAGGGAGGATTTTTCAAAAGTAGTCAGGTGGACCTGGGCATCTGAACCCCTGGGACTCTCAGGAGGTCCTGAAGCACTTTTGGAAATCTTCCCATAGGCACTTATAAAAAGAAGAAATCTATTTGCTGTACTTAGGAAAGAAGCTAAGAACAGAAAGACTGCAAATAATGGAACATGTATCCATACAAATGGGAACTAAATATATCGGCAAGTATATGCCTTGGCAGAGATTTTTTTACTCTTCACTAAAATGACACTCAAAACCTGCAAGAAAATTTGTGATTGATATTGTCATGTTACTTACACTTAGAACCCCCCCCCCCCCCTTAGCAGCAAAACAGTAACAGCAATCTTCAATGTTAAGTCTTCCATACACTTTGCAGACAGATGGAGAATAATAGAGATTTGCTTGATGATGCAATCCTGACAACAAAGGATTAAACCTTCTAGGCGTAGACTGATTCCTACCTCTATTTTGCCAGGTATGACCAAGTAACTCAATGCGTGTTACAGGTTTCAACAGCAGTCAACTGCAAGAGCAGAACTGACCCGAACTTAACAACTTTGCAAGGGAGTTCTCTCCCTCTTTCTTTTTGAATAGGTTTCAGCTTTTCTTTGCACCAGCACAACGTTTAGGTACTCTGCTTTGTGTACGTAAAATCTATACAGAGCCATCAGAAATGATGGCTTTGTAAGGCAGGCCCGTTCTGGCTGGTGTAGCAGCTTGGTTGTGGCAGTACTGAACTCACTGTGTGCTAATCAGGGGGTTAAGCAAGCCTACACGTAACTCCACGCTGCAGGAACAGGACCAGCTAGGCTCTAATATAACTAACTGAGCTCAACCAGCCTGGAGTGTGTCTACACTTACAGTCACAGCTTTGTTGGCCCTGAATCCAAAATGAACAGAGCCTTAACCACAGATTAGGATAATATATTCAGAGCAGCAAAGGAGAGTTGTTCCCAGGTATGTGTATTTTTTTCTACAGAAGGCTGGTTTACTATTGGTATTTCTTACCTGCCTGACAGCAAAATGGTCCAGTCTGTTCCAAAATGGGAAGAAAATAGCTGGCCATTTACAACTGCAACAGTAGAGTGCTCCTTGGCAAGTCTACAGAAATTTTGACTGACTAAGACTCATGATACCAAGCATTTCACTCAGGTAGTAGACTATGTGTACTGGGAGCTCCTCCACTGGCTTTTGTCTTAGCAGGGGGATGGAGGAGACAACTGAAAGTCTTTAGCATGCACAGTCACCTCTAGAAAGCTTCTTAAATCTAATAAGCTACCAAACAGATTTACTTTGTTGGTAAAATATCAACTAGTGTCTCTTCTTTTTTGCTTTTTCCTCCACCATGATCTACTCATTTTACTGAACTTAACAGACAATATCTCTAAAAACAGTAATTCCACCCTATGGAGAAGTATATATGGGAAATTCCTGTGAACAGGCATACGCCTCCTATTGAACTAATTCATCCTTCCCTAGAACAGCAGTACAACATGCTGGATGCAAAGCCAGGTGGCAGTATAAACAGATTCCTCCACATTCTGGATTTTGCTGTCATTCCTCCACACTCAGGATTTTGCTGTCACAACTGTGCTACATTTCTGCTGGTTGATGAAAGAGTATCATCTGTCCTGCTTTGATGTTCAGTCCTTTGTAACTGATTATCACAAAAGCAAGCTAAGTGCCTATTGGTAAAGGAAAACTTTGTCTTGACAGGCCCAGAATTTCCTCTGATGTCAAACAAGACGTTTCTAAATACTTCTGCTCCTCTTTTAGAAGTTTAGGTAAAATATTCAGCACCCACCAATCTGGAAGCCTTTGTAGTAGAAACAAACAGCACAATTTCTTTTTGTTTGAGATGTTGCTTTTGATTGCACAATTAGGCTATGGAGCGTGGCTTTTTATTAACATGCTTGCAATATGACAATGTAGTAAGAGCATGAACGAGGATAAAGCACCTTGCAGGAGTCTGTGTTCCATCACCTGGGATGAAACTATGCTGAGATGTTCCAACATCAAGCAGGACTATTCAGCCTGAGCCACAACTAATCTGGAAGATCATTAACAGCCATTTGGGAGAACGGTGCATTTAGCCTGTCGAGTTCATCTACTTGTGGGGGGTGATGCATTATAACCTCATGGTCCTCTGAAACGTCATCACCCACAGTGACTAGGTTTGTTAGAGATTTGCTCCGAACACACTGGAAATCAACATGACGGCTTTTGCCCTCTTCCTTCTCCCATGACATCTGGATGAATGGCCGTTGAACATAGTTGTATATCACTTCTGACCGGCCACCAGGCCTCCTCTTCACCTTCTCTTTACAGGTGGGATATCCTGAAAACACAGACAGCCAGTCAGTTGCACTACACCCCTTTGACTTGCACAAAGGGACAACAGGATCCCAGAAGAACAGCCAGGCAGGAGTGATTATGGGGGAAGGGGGGGACTTAGCAGACAAATGCTCACATGCCACATTATTGGCTTCCTTTCTTTTCTCCTGGAAAGATGGTGCAGCATTGTGTGTAGTCATATGATCAATGGCTGCACAGCATTACCATTTGGTGAACAAACATAGCTACTACAAAAATAGGAGCCTCCCAGGACAGAGCACAATGTTCTCTAAGCTCCCTAAGGGAACGCTTGGATCAGCAGGCAGAAGTGTTTGACTCTCGTTTCCTGTTTACTCAGTCCTAAAGAGACAAAGGCTTGCTGACACATGCCACACATCTTTCATTTGCCCTTAACTTTTGAGCCTCCTAGCCAATTTCAGTGTAACATGATAGAGGTGAAGGAACATGTCCAGCTTCTACTAGCTTCATGAAAATAAATGCCTAGTAAAACACAGAGCAAAACAGGAAATGCCTAGAGTCCAGAGGAAACCAGGCTTTACTGACTATGGAGTCACCTGTCGTAGAATTTCCTTTCTGAAGAAATACTTTACCTTCAATGCCAATGCGAATATTTTTCAGGCCCCGTTCCTTTAACACAGCTTTTGCAACATCCCGGTTCTCAATGTACTTGAAGAATCTGTACAGCTTGGAACTGTAAAGGACTTGAGAAATAAAAAGGGTGATTAGAATCTACAAGGAGGGACCTTCTCCCCATTTTTGACATGCTCAGCTGTGGGGGTGCCAAAAACCAGGTCTGGTTTCCAAGAACTACTTTGGGTATCTGTTCTCATCACTGCAGTTAGCTGCACTTCCTTGGTGGGAGGGTAGTGATGCACATTACAGTCTGGATAGAATGGGTGGTGATGGCAAAGAGTAAAGCAAAGAGTATTCACTCACTAGGGAGCTGGGAAAAGGCTGAGGGGGAGGCAGCAAACAAAAGGAAAAGATGCAGTGAGTGCTGTCATTACCAGTGCAGGCGGTCAGACCAAAGCTCTAACTAGCCAGGTACCCTGCCTCTAGCAGTCGCCAGTTCAGAAGGAACGTACAGAACAGGACTCCATATGACAGCATCTCTTCCTGGAGAAAGACTGCTGTTTGGGCAACAGGTCCTTTCCTTATGGCCACATGTCTGGGTGTGTGCTCAACACAGAGACAGGAGCCCCAGGGTAGAGCCCTTACTTTGCGAGTACTCCTCTCCCATTGGAGGTGGATGGTCTTCATCCCAGTCCACGGTGTCTTCATCTGTCAGCACGACAATATGGCATTCACGTTCCCCTTTCCTTGCACTATCCACCATTATAGGCAGAATTAGCTCCTCCAGGTAGCTATCAAACTGCTTGTGAGCACCATCATTGGAGAGCTCATGTAACAGAGCACCTAATGAGACATAAATCACATGATGAGCTTTTTTACACAGCGTGAAAATATGTCCCAGCTCTGCATTTTCCAGATACATTCAAGAGCACAGCCTGCATTCTTCTTTAGACAAACTCCTTAACATATGTTCAGATGCATCAACACTCTCCAGCTCCAGAATTGGCAAAATCACATATATGAGACTGCATTTCAAATGGAATGTAAATTACATGCTAGAACCATTACATTACCATTAAAAAAACCACCAAGGTCCAATCAATACAGCGCAACAGTAACAGACTGAATAATTAATTCATTATGACACTTAACTTGAATTTCCAGCAACAACCTCTGTCCTTGAAAGCATATTTTCTGCCTTCTCTGTGATCACTGATCAGAGGACAGGGTAGGAAACTCCACACCAAGGCCTGTGCTACAATACCATATGCCCCATTTCAGTATAGTGCTTTTCGCAGATTTGCCTATGTTAAAAGTACTTTTTTTTGCCAACATACATACCCAAAAAGCTGCTCCCAATCCCTTCATGACTAGGAACTCTCTACTACTTTCCAACTTTGGTGTCTTTGGTTCCTGCTCTGCCCATCATCCATAAGCCTAAATTATTCATGATTCTCTGGTACATTTTAGATAGGAATTATAACCCTGCTTTTAGCCTTCATTTTGTTTGGCTGTAACAGCAAGCTCTTCTTCTCAGCCTCTGTTACAAGAAGAGACTAGAATTTTTACAATTTCAATTTGCTTTTTTGGGCACGGTGTCTGCATTCTGGAGGATTCAATCACTTCACTTTGGATTGATGCAGCAAAAAAGGAAGCTGTTTAAATGCAATGCATACGTCAGTCCTAGTGGAGTCCATACCTTCGTGCTCAAACTAAAGCACATGATTAAGCAATGCACTGAGTCAGGATCAGAGTGCTCAACACCATGCAGATGATCTCCTAAGAGCTGATTTCTCTCCATACTTACTTAAATCTTGACATTTGATTGTGTTGAAATCAAAGTTTATGCAGAGGTAATCACATGTGTCTCGAAGGTCTGGGATGGAAATCCCATCAGGGCAGTTAATGATTCCAGTTTTGTAATAATCCTGCAAATAAAAGGACAGGTTTTGGAGAGAAAAATTAAGAATAGCTTAGACTCTGATAATTTTTAATTAGTTCTTTATTTTGTTAACCAACATTTGAGAGTTACAGAGGCTATACATAGCTCTGTGAACAGTAAAACCAGCCCTGCTTGTCTGAGAATCTACGTCTCATTGCAGATCCTCTTGGGTCTGATAAATGGTAAGCTCCAGTTAAAACTTTTCCCATGGCATAGGGTTTCATAACATCTCATATGTAATATGCATTTATATGCAAACACAAGGTCAGGACACAGCTCAGGAACTACAATGGCATGACACAAGAAAGGTAAAAGGCAACATGAGCAAATATCTGAAATGATGACTCATACCAAAGTCTATTATAATTAAAAAAAAAATAAAATCACAATGCAGAACAGTAATAAAAGAATATGTCCGAGGGGGTATGCAGCTGCCTGGGAGATGGCTCAGTTTTGCACATGTGACAAACAGATTCATTTTTTTTCAATCTGTAAAAATCTCCTTACCAGCACAGTCCGGAACACAGCTGAGCTAATTCCTTCTGCAATTTCATATTCTCCCTTTTCATTTGGCCTGGTGAAATTATATTCTCTTCCTGGTCCAAACATTCTGAAAAGATAAAAATCTATGTAAGTGCACAAGTGTAGTTAAATGCATTCATTCTAGAGACCAGTAGGTGCACTGAGGTTAAACAAAACCAGCAGTGACACATATATGCAGTAACTTGAAACCTATACTCATATCTCTTACATAGTAAATAAGCACAAGAGCTGTCTCACCTAAGTCTTCCTATAGCTGGACTCTGCCTGTCACTATAGCTACTGTATTGTAAGGAACAAGCCACAGCTCAAAGGAACAGATCATTCAACCCTGGGTCGGAAAATACCCTGGCAATAAAGCCCTTTCACTGAGGCTATGCAAGATAACCATCATACGCCTTTTCATCCCTTGTTTTATACAACGACCTGTGCAAAGGTCAGTAATCCACCAGATCCTGTCTCCCTGTGGTCAGAGATGGGTGAAAGTGCTGGCAATACAGAAAATGAGTTCTTCTTGTTGCATCAATAGGCTCCAACCTTTAAGCTACATTACAGGGAGCTGAGTAACTTCTCTTAATGGGAGAGTATTATAAGATAATAGCAGAAGGGGGATGGAGCATTATCATTTTCCCCATTCTGGAAGGAAATTGATCAGCAGTGAACAGATGTAGTACTTATAAACAAGGCAAACACTTGCAGAGAAAGCAAAAGCAGACCATGTCTAGCTAAAAGTGCATACTGTTTGAAGGAAGTGGAATGAAGGGAGAATGTTGTCTAAAGAACTACCAACTCTCTCTACATCTGGTCTTGTCTTCAAGGCCTCACAGCCAAGTTCTGAATGAGCTCAACCTCGCTTCACTTGTGTGTATAGATGAGACTGGAAAACAAACATTAGGGGTTTGTTCCATCTTAGCAACCATTTGACCCCCTTGAGCTATCTTGAAAATAGTGGAAATTACCCACCTTCCCAGCATAGTATCAGGGTGAGCAGTGAAAATCTGTGGATTCACTGCAAAGCGAGTGCCGTCTACCACAAGCGTCACTTTCTCTGGAGCCACTGTTTGCGAATTGCTGCTTGAAGACAAAGTGCAGCATCCATGGCGTTCCTGGGTATTAAAATATTCTGACTGTCTCTTATTTCCATCTTGGAAATGACAGTTGTGTGTGTCTTCAGGAGCAGACAACATGCTACTAATCTGGGGACTTATTGGACAAGCAGTGTGTCGGCATTCAGAATCTAAACCTGAGAGAGACAAACGAATATTGCACAGGTAAGATATAATTTATTGAAAAACATCATGTCATAGTAACACTTAGTACTGTAATGACAAAACTGAGTCATACAATAACAAAGGATGTCAATATACCTAACTGTCAGAGTAATGTTATATGACATAAAATTAGACTGCATTTTCAAATTGAGCCAGCAGTTGGATTTTGGATAAAAAATTTCCCAAATGAACCATTGTCCTGGTTTCAGCTGGGATAGAGTTAATTTTCTTCCTAATAGCTGGTATGGTGCTATGTTTTGAGTTCAGTATGAGGAGAATGTTGATAACACTGATGTTTTCATTTGTTGCTAAGTAGTGTTTAGACTAAAGTCAAGGATTTTTCAGCTTCTCATGCCCAGCCAGCGAGAAAGCTGGAAGGGCACAAGAAGTTGGCACAGGACAGAGCCAGGGCACCTGACCCCAAGTGGCCAACGGGGTATTCCATACCATGTGATGTCACACCTAGTATATCAACTGGGGGGAGTGGGGGCGGGGGATCGCTGCTCGGGGACTAGCTGGGTGTCGATCGGCAGGTGGTGAGCAATTGCACTGTGCATCATTTGTACATTCCAATCCTTTTATTATTGCTGTTGTAATTTTATTAGTGTTATCATTATCATTATTAGTTTCTTCTTTTCTCAAACGTTCTTATCTCAACCCCCGAGTTTTACTTCTTTTCCCGATTTTCTCCCCCATCCCACTGGGTGGGGGGGAGTGAGTGAGCAGCTGCGTGGTGCTTAGTTGCTGGCTGGGGTTAAAGCATGACAACCATGATGATACTCCTTGTTAAAGCAAGATGGATTCAGTGTGTAAAGAGCAGGAGCACAGGAATTAAACAAGGCTAGAAATATAGACCCACAGACGCCAGGTATTGACACCTACTCTCACAGGAAAGCTGGAGCAGAAGCACACACCACACTAAAGGTGGTTTAAGCCAGGAGTGCTTGATGCCCAGTTCATGGTGGGCACACAGCTCATCAGGACTGTCCAGCTACCTTCAGTTTATCTGTTCAGGGACAACCTCAGAAAGAGCTGCAAGTTGGCCAAGATGTGATGATCTTGCCAAGACAGCAAGACCCTAAACTCTGCTGTGGACCTTTGTCCTTTAGAACAGCCTGGCAAAGGCAGGGTACGTACATTCTGCACTCCCCAGTGCAAATTGCCTTGGGATACTGGAATTTTTCCAAAACATAACACCTCTCAAAAAAAAAAAAATTCTCCCTTAAAGATTACTATAAGGTAAAGACATTATCCTTACCCTCAGTCCTGGGAACTGCAGCAGGGCTGTGACCTCCTAGCACCACATTACTTTCTTCTGACTCATGGACTGCTACAGTTACGTTTTCCACAGAGCGACTGGAGTCCAGATTTCTTGACCAGTCTGTCCCACCAGCACAGTTAACATTCATGCTGGGCCTCCGTGACGTGAGGAGTTGGTTGCGTTTCCTAAGAGAAGAGCTAGGAGAGAAAATACCAGGTGGTTAGTTTTGGAAGAAACTCCCAAGCAATGAAGCTCAAACTGGGCTTCAGAGAGGCTTATGATGCTAGTCATGTCCCTACACTAACCTAGGAAAGGGGGAAGGAAAAGGTTTTAAAGTAACCAGTGGTCTATTTCATCTACAAACCTTTGCTTTTTTAAAAGTAAGTCGAATGCCACTGATGTCTTTAGATCACATGTGTGTTCCTGCAAATACCTTCCTGGCAATTGTCTGACATCCAGACCACTAAAGCCCTTTAAAAATGTTTATATATCTCTCAATTCCCAGCACTGGCAAAATGAGCTCTGTAACACGGCAATACCCTGATACACAACATTTTCCCAGTTAACAGCTCAGGCATTGCCTCTTAACCACTCTGAGGTCTGACTAGGAGGTTCTCTACTCCCAGTCATTGTTTGGTTTGGGTTTTTTTTTTGTCCTCCTCCTCCTTGATTTATCCCCCTCCCATCATATTGTGCTCACCCCACTATTTAACCCAACATAGTCCTACAACAAATCCTCATGCCACATAAACCAGCCATGACTGCAGCAGCCTTATATCCATTGCACCCTGGCTCAGACCGATACATACAATGCTTTAACCAATGCCATTCAAATCTTACATGTTCTTTCAGCATATGCACAGAGACATCTTCCATTTTTGCTGTTTGGCCATTTCACTCAAGTGAAATTCTTCCCTGTTCCTATCCTTAAGACCCACTTCACTCCTTTGTATCTCCTAGCACTGACCCTTTCCCTCATTCTCTCTTTGGCATGTATTTTGTCCTGCTACTGCCTTGGACAAAAACCAGCTCTCCTTTCTTGGCTTGAAGTGTTTTGCTTTCACTCTTTCAAACATAAACCACCAATTTTCTCATTAATGAATTTTCCCAATTTCCCCCCTGCAGAACAATTGTCCTGTGTCTTTTTCTTGGATGAATTAAGACTCCAGGGCCCGCGGGTGCCATCTATAAAGCATGGCAGAACACAGACATGGCTAGATACAAACCAGATAAAATACAGCACTAATAAAACAACAAAATGCCAAATAAGAGTTGGCGAGTTTTCTGGTCAGGACCTGCTGAGGATGAAAGCCTTAATGAGCAGTTCAGTGGTGGGTTTCAAGCCCATCATTACTGGCAGTCAGTGTAAGCATTTAATTCTTAATTAGAAATTTAAAAAAGGAATAACAATTCCTTCCCCTTGTCCCATAAAACAAATACTAAGTTGCCAGCATTATTATATCTGTATATTTTTAGAAAGTCTGTTGCTTACGCATCATGTGATATTCATCAGAAGGAAGATTTTTGGCAACAGCAAAGCCATGTGAAAAGCTACTATATTCTTTCCTTTTTTAAAGGCCCTGGCTGGCTGGTAGGAACAGCAACATGAGGAGCCTGTGAGGGTCATCTTAGTTTCAGCAAAGTTAACAGCGTGCAGTGCATCACTATCCACCTCGCCTCTCACCAAATACCCAATGTTGGCTCAGAAAACTCCCTCTCCTGACGCTTTCCAGGCTGCTTTCTTGGGCCAACTGCACTGACTGCCTGGACCCCGGAGAAAACCCCTCATCTGTCCCATCAGAAACCCAGCAGTCCCCGCGAATGCTGCCTTGCTTTTGTTCACATCTGAACAAATCCATCCCCTTTTGCCTGAGCTAAGGGCAACACAAACTACCTCTGAATAAACCTGTGCAACCTTTTACTCTCTTCTCTCGTGTGTCAGACCAGCAAAGAGGTAGCAAGAAAAGCCAGCAGGCTGCTCTTGGGCCATGGGCAGTGGGACACGGGTGTGTGGAATCCCCAATATCTAAGCAGAACATACCAATTGCATGTGCAATGCACCAACTGCCCCACTCATACAACTGCAGGACAAACCTACTATCCCAGGAATGACTATATAAGTGAGTAAACACACAGAATATGCAGGAAATGCTCTTTAAAGTAACCCCAAATATGCAAACCCACATCCTGTATATTGATAATTTCATTGATACATTGATAATTTCAAACATAGCAACAAAAACGCAACCATTCCCCTATTTCATACAGTCTATTTCAATTATTGTGAGAAAATTTTGAGTTTTCCAGGCTGCAAATGTTAAACTTTTTATACAACTAATATTGTGGTTTCAAACACATTCACTGAACTCCAAACATTGTAATTATGCTGTACTTTCTGACCAAAATGCTTTAAAATTTGGTAAATGCATAGAAAGCTAAAACATATTTTTTAAAACTGCAGTTTGATTGAGTTAGGCAAAAGTGTTTTGAGATGGGGAAAAACCCATCCTTGTCGAGTGGATACGTAATCATCTTGGGAAAGCCCTTAAAGAGGAGTCGTTGTTGAGACTAGCTAGTTGTCAGGAAGAACACAAACAGCGTACTGGGTTGTGTCTCAGGAACTCTCCCCCTCCCTGCAACTTTTCTGTATTGAAACAAGCTCCCTGATAAAACTGAGATGCTAACACACTCGGGAACAGAATTTGCTCTGTGAGCTGACAAGAACTCTATTAAGAAAACTTGATAAGCATAAAATTTACTTCTTAGGCCTCTTTCTTTCAGGAGTGCTCCACTGCTGCTGTTCCGCCAATAAGCTCCACTTGCGCTGTCTGAACAGTCTCTCGATTATTTAATACATTACTTAACAGAGAGGAGAATTTAGGCAGGGAGTCAGATCAATAAGCAGTTTATACCCAGGCAAACAGCAGCTTTATCAAGGGACACTTACATTCCATAACTTCACAAGAGGCCTGCCTTATAAGCCCTTTTCAAGTGATGTCGAACAGCACAAAACGCCTACAGACTGAATTTTCACAACCATCAGATTGGGTTTGATGAATGTTGCAATCTTTGTTCATCACCTTAAGCTCTGAATTAAAGCACAGTTCAAGAGACCTTGAGTGCCATTCAGTGGAGTCCTCTACTACAATATCTCAGAGATTATTTATAGAACTATCATCAGATACGCAGGAACTACAATACATGAATTTTCCCTGATCATTTCCCCCCATTTTTCGGCTTAATCTGCTAAGCAGGATTTTTAGGAAAAAAGTCCCAGTGTTTGACACCTTTCTGCTCATTCTTTTCTGTTACACTAAGCTTAGCACCAGTGAAAAGTGCTAAAAACTGCAGCGATGGGAAGATTCAGAAACAGATGCTCTTCGCAGTTGTGGTGGCTCTTACAAGCATCAGATCTGACTTTCCTCATTAAATCTATGGGAAGCTGAACGTTCAGTCCTGCTGATAATCCAACTTGGGCCAGGCTAATGGCATTTTCTTGTCTTCTGTCCCCTCTTGGCATGCCCAAATCCTACACATTACATGTCAGCAGAATTGAGGTAAATGAGTAAGGATTCCTTTAGCACATCTGGCTGGTAAAATAAATATCCAAACTAGTCATTTAACATGACAAATATATTGCAATCACGCATACAACCCAGTAGGGAAACTAGTACATAAAGACTTCAGAAGGCCACACTCATGCCTGACCAGTTTACAAATGTCCTGGTCTCCTTTCATGCCCAGGATCAAGGTGAACTACCCGTGGTGAGAATGGATACCTATAAATAATAATTAGCACTATTCATCTTCAAAGCTTTTTACAAATATTAACTGCTCATTGCTTCTAACAGCCCTGGGAAGCACTGCAGGGAATTCTTTTATGAGAAAAAACAGGGACACAGAAAAAGAGACATAATCTTCAGGACCAGCCAAAGTATCACGTCCACTAACTAAGTGTTACACGCTGACTTTTAGCACGTTCAGTACTCAAGCTCCCTGGCCATGCACCAGCAATTACCCTGTGGTTAGCAGGACAAATATTAGCAGGTTACCATTTTCTTCTGAGGTCTGTTTCCATGCACGTTCCTACCCTCTGGTAAGCATAAATTGGCTGGTACCACAGAATTGATCATGAACAGTAAATGAGCACCTTGATTTCTTAGCTCACTTCTCAGTAATTTGTTTGTATGCCCAGATCCTGAAGGACCAGGTAGGGACCAGGCTGTAGAGGAATTGAAGACTCATGGCTTGTGGACAGCTGGATTTTGGGAGCTGGGAACTCATGAATATCAAAAGCCCAGTGTCACATTCAGCACTAAAGATGAGAGAAAGAGCTCCTAAATAGGCTGTGATTTTTTTTTTTGAAAGGAAATCAGCATCACAGTCAAAAATCAAAATTCACACCTGACTCTGGCCGTTGGTTTTGCCTAACTTGGAGCATGTAGGTTCCTCCTCCCTCCAGAACATGACAATGTTAAGAATGAGCTGTGCAACTGAACAAGCATCTCTGTTCTCCAAACCACGTGCTGATAGTCACGGTGAAGTCATCTTTATTTAAACTTGTTTAGAGCCAACACTTTTGTTGAGAGAAAAATATGGAGGTGATATTTAAATATTTTTTTTAAACACAAACTGGAAACAGTTTTTAGCAGCAACGCATCTTTGGCACAAACAAGTCATGCTACAAACCTTTTGCAGAGATAAAGAGGCTGATCCTTGTTCTATGTAATTCTTGAGAAAGAAGGAAGTGTACTGGAATGTAAAAAGGCTGGGAGGATCTTCAGCACATTATCCTTCCCCACCCTAACGAATCTGAGGCACATCCAAACTCACTTCCCAAGGTACATAGTTCTCACCCAGCTACTGGAAGGCTTATCTTGTACAGACCAACATAAACAGTACATAGGTGATGTGTGCAAAGAAAAGAAACTCAAATACAGTAACGTGCCCAGTAGAGAAAACCCATTTAGATGTAGGTCATTTTATTAAGCAAAAGGTAACAAAAGTATCAGTACAGACTTGCTGGTTTCTAATTTTTTATTGTATTACTTGTTCCTTATCCTTACCCTTGGGATTTTTTTTTTTTTTTTTCCAAAAGAGCCATTATAAAATATTTAGGTATTAAGTTTGCAGAACTTCAGAGAATGTCAAAGAAAAATCATGAAAAGCTGAGCTGTCAAAATCCATTGAAGAGTAAAGCCCTTTACTGTAACATCTGACAGCTTATGCACTGCTTCACTGTCATCTGGCATGACAAGAAGGAAGTCGTAAGAGAGTAAAAATAGTAGAAGTGAGTAACCTTATTTCACCATTCGGTTTGCGAATGGCGAAGACAGACCAGCACATTGATTGAGTGAATCAGATGGTTAGCAATCTTCCACTCTTCCTAAACCACAGCGTAACCACGATGACTTAAATAAAACTCGAAACAACTCATTTTTAAGGAGACAACACTCCTGTAAATCTACAAAAACATTCCCATGTACAATTATTCTCAGAAATATGAGCAAGCAGGAAACACGCGTATGCAGGGTGTGCCTGACCTAATTCTACAGTCTACTACTTTAGAACAAGACTTATTTCTAATATAATTGCATGCCTTTCAAAAAAGTTTAGCCTTGCTTTAATTTCCTAAAAGATATCCTCAGAACACGTCAAAAGTGTCTCTAAACATAAAAAGCAGAAAAACAAATTAGCAATGATTGAATTCCTCCTCTGGAGAGAAAAAGAGAAATCTCACAGGCTTAAGATAAATAATGAGAAGCATTTCCTGTACGAAAGGATTAGCAAATCAGTATAGGGTATGTCTAAACCACAACGGGAGTGCAGCACAGAGATACTCCAGCCAGGAGAGATCCGCTGGCCAAGGCTTTGCTGTGCCATATACGTGTGGATTTGTCAGTCGGAGGCCAGATACAGGACTGAAACAGCTAGACTGCACCACGCTGAGTGAGTTAACCTGGCCTCTCTCATGTAGTACTCGCCACTCACATTCATCTTCTCTCAGCTGGTCTGCTCTTGTGCACCCTATACGATTTTGGAATTTGGTTAAGTGAAAAAGCAGTGATTAAACTTGCTATGAAAAAATATCATATTGGCAAGTAGGCAGCAATCCAACTTTCTAATTTTCATAAAAACTATTTGCTTTTGATCATCAGATGCATACTTCCCCAGAGAGAAGGAGGAAGAGAAAAATAACCATACTGCTTGTCAGCTCAGTTCAGTGGCAATAAAAATTCCCCAGTCATAGGGAAGCATACCAGAGGGCTGTGCAGAATGAGAGTAATCCAACCGTTAGAAAGAAAGGCAAAAAGTAAAGCTTTCTGCTCTATTAAAGATTGAGAACAGATCTGGGGTCTCATTCTGTAAATATGAAGGAAATCCACTGAAAACAGCAGGTTTGAATTTGCATGAATGAGACAAGTCAAACCCTAGGAATTTTGGCCCCAGCTTCTGTTCATTCCCACACCTGTAACTTGGGAGTCCCTGAAGATTTTAAAAAAATCAAATGGAGAAGGTAGGGAAAGGAAACGGCGTAGAAGGGCACAGGAAAAAAACCTGCCAGGCGGTGCCTGCTCTAGTCTCAACAGAGCCTCCTGTCTTATGCTCTGCTTTGTTTCCTTCTGCATTCCCAGTAAGAGGGAAACACAGCACCATTAGGAAATTGGAAGAGACAAAGTAAGTATAAAACCTGCCTATTAAAAAACAATTTCACTATCAATTGTATAAAAAACTCCCCTAGAGTTTAAAATGCAAGAAGATACCTTTCCTTTTACAAGTTGCTGGGAGTAAACACAAGCCTGTCGATTCTTTATCTACTAAAAAATTAAAAGCGAGTGATGGGCCCACATTATCAGTATTGCAGCGTTTACGTTAGAAGAAAGGCAATTCCAAAGCAATGACACATCCTGCTTTTAAATCCTACTCCTTGCTTTTGGCCAAATTCTACAGTCTTTAAAGATTTTAAGATTCAGAGGCTCTCTCATTCTCATAGCAGGTTGTTTTTTTGGTCTTTGTTTTTTTTTTAAAGCATTTTTCCAGTCGTCAGGTACAAATCTGGTTCCTCATTACTACTTCTCTTTTAACCATAAGACTTGTCTAGATCAGTTTTTATCCTCTTCCAGAAGGTGAAGGGCCATGCGTGAAGTCTCACATAAGCAGGGAAGCTGGTGTCACCAGGCTGCCCTGAGCAAGTGTACCTTCTAGCACAAGGGTCTGAGCCCCAGGCACTGCCCGGTGTGGCTGAATCAAACAAGGGATGCTCGAGGCAACATAACACTTGACAGGTCTGAGGCTGGCCACTCACTGGCACCTGTAGATATGCCTGTACCACAGGAGAACAACATAAAAGTGCATTCACCCAGATTGCATCAGATAGAAAATGTACCTGGAGCCTTTAACATGCTTTTCTCATACCTACTAATGATCCTCGTTTCATTTTGCGCTATAGACGCAAACATATCCAGACAATAAAAGGCTGATGTATAGGCTGAACTAGCACAGGCATATTACAAAAGGCTTTTTGCTTGTTATGAAATAACACTATCAATATACAGAGGAATCATTTTCCATCTGGCTTCAAAATATAGGTGGAAAATAACATCCAGCAGGACTGATGCAATGCAGGACAGCCTGCAAATTCTGGCAAGAGACAGCAAGAAGGCTGATGAAATGCTTGATTGTTTTCTCCTATTCTGTGCATAGAGCTTCACTGTTAGGAAAGTTTACAGACTTACTCGTTTACTTGAGTCTTAACAAAAATCCACTGTTTCTACAAATGCAATTCAAAACTACAGTCTGGAGTACAGTTTTCATGGTTTAACACTGCACATCCACACCTTGATTTAAGACCCATGGTTCACCAGGTCCTCCCGTAACTGCCAGCGCCTCATTTACAAGCTGAAAGCTCACATCATTGCTGATGGCACTGACCCACACATCAGCACCCCACACTGACAGCATCATTTATTTTGCCAACTTATAATCACGAAGACTAATACATGCAGAAAAATCATTGAGATTTATTAACCTGAAGTAACCTATTATAGGCTTTTCCAAAATAGTAAAGTTATACTGTGGCTGCCTCATCAACTGGAATAGATGAAGTGCATCCAGTAATGTCCTACCATTGGGTGTCTCGGAAGGGAACAAAATTTCTGAATAAGACAACAGGTTAATGCTTTGCTAGGGCTATTTCCCTCCCTGTAAGGCTCAAGGTACTAGTGTTAAAAGAGCACAACCAAGCAACCTATAAAGGCTATTTCCACTATTCACACTATTGGGTTAAAGACAGTCATCTGAAAAATTATAGTTCTTATATTTGATCCTCATAAAGACCTTATTAATACCGTAGTAATGGCAGCTTTGCTAGTGCTATCTGATTAAATTCAGTCAGCAATTTAAGTAAAGCTGGCCATGCCCATATAGAATATAGACCTCCTTTCTAGGCAGAAGGATGGAGTACGCAGATCTGATCAGGGTAAGGGGAAAAACTCTGGTGAAAGATGAACTGTTGCAAATATAACCAGGATATTCTTCTCTAGAGACAGGACAGACAAATGTTCCCCTGTTAAAATACACAATACTGAGCTAAATAGTTTTAAGCCAGGTGACACCTCGGAGTTACACTCTGTCTTCACCTGTGTTAGATTAAGCTACAAATATTTATGTGAAAATCTGCAACAGGAGCAGTAGCAGCAGAAATAAGAGTTTTGCCCTGTGATCTCTGTTCCACCATTTTCTGCAAAACTACTTACAAAGCTTTCAGAAAAACCCCCATGTTTCAAAAAAGCATAAAAGCAAGACCTGCCTTACCCCTTTAGATTTTAAAATGCTATTTTCTTTCTCAATTTTTCTTCTTGGGCAGTTAAATCTAACTTGGTTTCAAATTCACACAATTTCAATTCCTACATCTACACTACAAGAAGTGAAGCTTCTCAACTATAAGCTATACAAAAAAGCATAAGGACAACAGTATTTCTGAGAAAGCTCTAACCCTGAGTCCAATATACCTGCAGACATCAGAACTTCTGAACAGAAATAATCACCCACATTTCCTATTGCAACTCCAGAGCAAACCCTCTGCCAAGCACCCCCTCTCAAACACCACAGCTCCTTACTTACTGGCGGCTCATGTGTTCTCAGTGCTACCAACACCAATATCCCGAGATCCTTCTTTAACAGAGGGAACCACTAAGTCACAGCAAAGCTACAGAGTTTAAACTGTTTGTGCAGCAATGGTCACTCCCCCAAAGCCCAGATGTCTGATTCATGTAAATATTTCAGCTTAAAAGTCCTCGTCCCGTCCCTCCCAGCTGATTCATGAAAAGTTTGAATCTAAAAAAAATCTGTACTGTAACAAATAGCTTTATATTAAGCCTCCTCTTTTCAGCAAAAGCCCCCCCAAATCCCTCTCTCCCCAGATTCCTGGTTCAGGCACAGTTTTATTAAACCCTTGATGCCATATGCTTAAACACACTCCTGCCACTCATCTGCGACACATCCCTTACGCAGGCAGAAGGGAATTAACTACCAGAATTTCTGAATATGTACATAACCATGTGCACACAGATTCCCAAGTCCAGAAGACCTTGGACTTGGGCCCAAACAAACTTACAGTAACTGAGGATAAAGTGAGTTATTTTGATATGTCAATGCCCGCGCGATGCATTGCAGAGGCATTACACATTTACGTCACCTGGAAATGTTACCCTCTATCAGTTCAAATATTAAATCAATCTATCTATTATTCTGTTGTTCTTAATGCTTTCCCTAAGATATATCTGGATTGCTCAGAGACTGCTCCAAACACAGATTCACAGAACAATAGAATTAAATGTATCACATATCGTGAATAATATATAAATTTTAATGCAAAGAGAACCTGAAGAAGTAGGAAACTATTTTCATCCTGACTCACGCTAGTGATAAAGCATATGTGTGTACTAACAAGCTTTAAAGTCTGAACAGTACATAGTACCTAAATAGATTAATGAAAGATGCCTTAAGAGGTATCTTAAAAACAAACCATACAATCCAACATAATAAAAAAAAGTTCTCACTAATTTACTAACTCATCTTTGCACTGTACATACATATAATATACTGCAAGCACTTGGTTTGGGGGCAAGCTTTTGATTCTTTAATGCCCAATTCTCTAGTCTGTCTAGATATAGGTGCAATAAAGCACCTGTAGCCTGTTAAAGAGGTTGGGGGGAACCTAAAGAAAGAGAAACAGCCTCTAATCACTAAGGCATATTGTCCCACACAAGGTGAGGCAGGTTGCCATCATTCAGGACTATGAAAATCCACACAGAGCACACAATGCTCAAGATCAAGGCAGCTTGTTGCACTTTCAAAGCATGCAGTAGAGCATTCATCCCCCAAATCACCAAGGAGATGACAGCAGGGTATAAATTAACACTTCAGCTCACTCTTGAGGGGCTGAACGCATCATAAACCCCTCCCGTATCCTTCACCACAGTGGCCTTAGGAGAGACAGAAACTGCACAGTGTCTGAAGCCCAGTACTTGGAGCTGTTGCCCCCACCACCTGCGATTCTGGCCTGCAACACAGGGTCCCAACACCAACACACAGCCTGCAGCACCATAAAGGCTAAACTACCCTATTTGCTTTTAGCATAGCAACTGGCCAGTGTGGATCCTCTTGAGAGGAGGATCGCTGTATTAATCAGTATATTTTGAAATATACAACAGTTTTAATATGAATGGTTTATTTTACAGCAGAATATCCATGGAGAGAATATTCAGACTAAAACAAAATTCCTCTCCTTCCTTACTGAGCGTTTGGTTTCCTACAAAAAGTTAGTTGATGTTTCACCCATAGCAAAAAGCACCTACTTGCTTTGACTCTTATTTTAGAAAGGCTGCGACCAGCTTAAAACTCCACCTTCCTTCTCTGGAAAGGATCCCAACAAGTAACTGCTCACTCATTCCCAGCTCATCTGCTACAACTCCAACTGCCATTCATTTTTAACCAATGACATGGCAGCAGCTTGAAAAACTAACAATAGATGGCAGATTTTTGAAAGTCGAATATAGTTACGGTAGCTATTCACCAAAGAGATTTCAGAGTAACAAAGCATAGAGCACCAAAAAAAAAACCTCCAAACAAAAAACAACCAGGGAAGCTGCATACTGTTCAACTGAATGCAATTAAATTTGAAAGTAAATATTCCCATCTTGAAAAAGCATTTCATCTGTACTACAGTGAGGAGGAGCTCAGTGCTTACTGATGTTAACCTGAATAAGTTCCGATATACCTAGACACCTCTGCCTCCGTTTCAGGGCCTGAAGGAGGGCTGTGCAAGGGACGGGAATGGGAAGAGGGCACAGCAGAGCAAGCCACCCCTCTACCAGCAGCACAGGGCCCTGGTGCTCCGGGCCAGGCACTGCTGTTGCTGATTAAAGGTCCAGCAGCAGTTCGCGTCCAGTGTGGAAGAACAGAACCAGGCTTGGCAAAACTCAAGTGTCATAACCGAGCACAGGAGATCTTTACCTAACTTTGGTATGAGACAGGCTGGCATGAGATCCCTGCCAGGGTAATTATCCAGCATCCCCACGGGGCACTGCCGTATCTCACCGCAACAGTCAGCGGGACAAGTCGCTGGAAGCCAGTTCAGATAAAGCCACTGAAGCTACAGCTGTACTGTCTGGCCGAAGGGCTGAGACACTCCTTACGAGCGGAGGCACAAACAAAGTGAAGACTATCAGCATGGTCTGTAGGAACAACGAAGTTTTCTGAACCAAGCAAGTTGTTTAATTTACATTAAGATAGAGACAATAACAAAAAGCAAAACAAATTAAGGCCTACCTTTTAGAGTGCAGCCGCATTAGTAAACTGCAAATAATACTAAAGTAATCCGAAATCAAAATAAACAAGAAGAGTTTTCTTTAGCACAACTGCAGCTCATCAGGAAAACACATCTTGATGTATTTTTAGGGAGGCAAGAGCAGGGGCTAAAATTGCAGCTAGGTAAAGCCAACCATTAGCACTCTGTCAATTTATGTCAGCAGAGAACTTGATACCTTATTTTCAAGAACTGAAAAACATCTTGCTCAAGATTTCAAAATAACTACGGTTTACAATAGTACATTGGCAAGACACCTCTTCCTTTGTTTACATGTCTGGATAAATATTTTACATGTCAAACATAGTTATAACACTTTCTAAGAATATTCCATTACATTCTTTCTTATGTGACTAATAATTCTTTCACAAAAATATTTGGCTAGTGTCATGTTTCAGCAAAATTAGCCAGGAACTGTAGCCATATTTTGTGGAAGCTTAAAAAAGGGAAAATACCACTAAAAAAAATACACAAAATTGAAAAAGCAGAGACGATGCCTATTTCAACACACATAATGAGGTGTTCGTGCAGAGAAAAGGTGCCCATTTGGGCACTGAATAAGGTCACTCTTGAAAGTGGAAAGTTCTAAAATTGAAATGTATTCCAGAACAGTCCGCCCCAGCTCATTTTTAATTTGACAAGCAAGCAACCCATCAATATTCTAGCCAAATTTGCAGCTGGTTTCATGAGTGTTTATCTCAAAGACAACAAGCAAAAGAAAGGCTAGGATTTTAAAAAATTTGTTTATTTCAAGGAAACAGTCTTCAAAGGCTATCCTTGTGAGGAATATTCAACTCCTCAGCTGAATAATCCAAGAGATTCACAAATAAATTAGCATATTCCAATAGTAGAGCTTATGCACGATTTTAATAAATCCTTAAGAAGATAGGTCTTACTGCAAAGTGTCCTGGTTTCAGCTGGGATAGAGTTATTTGTCTTCCTAGTAGCTGGTATAGTGCTGTTTTGGGTTCAGTATGAGAAGAATGTTGATAACACACTGATGTTTTCAAGTTGTGGCTAAGCAGTGTTTAGACTAAGTCAAGGATTTTTCAGCTTCTCATGCCCAGCCAGCGAGAAAGGCTGGAGGGGCACAAGAAGTTTGGAGGGGACACAGCCAGGACAGCTGACCCAAACTGGCCAACAGGGTATTCCCTATCATGTGATGTCATGCCCAGTATATAAACTGGGGGAGTGGGGCTGGAGAGAATCGCTGCTCAGGAACTAACTGGGCATCAGTTGGCAGGTGGCGAGCAATTGCATTGTGTATCACTTGTATATTCCAATCCTTTTACTATTATTATTTTAATTTTATTATTGTTATTATCATCATTATTAGTTTCTTCCTTTCTGTTCTATTAAACTGTTCTTATCTCAACCCATGAGTTTTACTTTTTTTTTTTTTTTTCCCCAGTTCCCTCCCCCATCCCACTGGGGGCTGGTGGTGGAATGAGTGAGCGGCTGCGTGGTGCTTAGTTGCTGGCTGGGGTTAAACCATGACAGAAACCTGCTAATTAAAGGGTCTATTAATGTACAAAGCAGCTCTCTCTAACCCTAGGATTTCAACTCAATCCCAATCAGACATAACCAAAACCATGACATTTTAGAGCTCTTAATGTGGACTGAATTAAATGAATTTGCTATTTTCAGTACGGCAGCCAGCTAGACAAGATGCTTACAAGAAACCACCATCCCTAAGTGAACTTCTTGGTGGTAAACCTGGACCAAAACTCACATGGGCAGAAATCTCAACACACTCAACACCAGCGGGTGAATGCTTCTTCCAGCCCCATCTGTGGGATGCTGCTGGGGCAGCACGAGGGTGCTGGTATGCTCATTGTCAGGGCTTCAGCTGCTCTGGGATAAGTAAAGCCTTTAAGTCTCACAGCTGTCAATTTGGCTGGCCTGAGTTCACAGGAGGTTTTATTTTGAATTGTTATTTTTAATTCAGCTGTGACAAGCTCCTCATTAAAGACAGCAGTAAGTGTCTGCAACACAGAGGGTGAGACTGGAGAAGAGTCTATTTTCTGCATTAGTAAGAATTTCATCTTTCAGAAATGCAGTAATCCCACTCTACAAGTGGTGAAATGGCATTTCCCATAGTTGTCCACAACACCTTTAAAATGGACTTGGAATGACTTAACAGCACAAAGGGAAGACAGATACAGATGCCACATGGCATATTAATCGTATTAACCAATATGTCATGGCATATTAACCAATTTTCTGAAAACAATTAAGAGTTTCAAAAACAGCTTTTAAAAGAAGAGGCCCACCCCATGATCTTGGCAACGAACATTTTGTAATAGGGACATTTGACAGACAGGGTACATTTTAAATATAGCACAGCCCTAATGCACTAAGCTCTCCACAGCTTTATA